CCAAGTGAAGAAATAGAACATTCCCAGTATTCTGATTGCCCTTCCTCCCATCCAGAGAGAACCATTATCCCAAGTTTTTTGTTCCTTGTACCTTTCTCTGTCTAGTTTACCATTTGTGTCAGTTCTCTCAGGCCACCTCCAAGCTTCGGGGCTTAAACATCAGCATTTTATTGTTTCTCCCAATTTTTGTGGGCTGACTGGGCAGTTAACTCTGGTGAGGTTGAGGTCATTCATGTGACAGCATTCGCCTGGCAGCTGGGCTGGAAGGTCCAAGAGAGCATCTCGCCCCGGAGCCTGGGCGCTGTCCGCAGGGCGCTGTCCGCAGGGCGCTGCAGTGCTTTGTCCCGTGGCTTCTGCAGTCAGGGTCTCCTCCGGGGCCCTCCGCGTGCCCCCTCTCCCACCAGGAGGGCCCTCCTCCGCGTGTCCCCTCTCCCACCAGGAGGGCCCTCCTCCGCGTGTCCCCTCTCCCACCAGGAGGGCCCTCCTCCGCGTGTCCCCTCTCCCACCAGGAGGGCCCTCCGCGTGTCCCCTCTCCCCACCAGGAGGGCCCTCCTCCGCGTGTCCCCTCTCCCACCAGGAGGGCCCTCCTCCCCGTGTCCCCTCTCTCCCCAGGAGGGGCCCTCGCGGCCCTCCCACGGAGGGCCCCGCTCCCCCTCCCACAGGAGGGCCCTCGCGTGTCCCCTCCACCCCCCGTCTCCCACCAGGAGGGCCCTCCGCGTGTCCCCTCTCCCACCAGGAGGCCTCGCGGGCCCCTCTCCAGGATGTCGCGTGCCCCTCTCCCACCAGGAGGGCCCTCCGCGTGTCCCCTCTCCCACCAGGAGGGCCCTCCTCCATGTGTCCCCTCTCCCACCAGGAGGGCCCTCCTCCATGTGTCCCCTCTCCCACCAGGAGGGCCCTCCGCGTGTCCCCTCTCCCACCAGGAGGGCCCTCCTCCATGTGTCCCCTCTCCCACCAGGAGGCCTCGTGTCCCCCTCTCCCACCAGGAGGGCCCTCCTCCCCGTGTCCCCTCTCCCACCAGGAGGGCCCTCCTCCCCGTGTCCCCTCTCCCCACCAGGAGGGCCCTCCTCCCCGTGTCCCCTCTCCCCACCAGGAGGGCCCTCCTCCCCGTGTCCCCTCTCCCCACCAGGAGGGCCCTTCCCATGTCCGTCAGCTCCGACAGGGAGGGGAGGCACTGCGGCTGCTGCCGTGGACTGGCACCCACGCCCTCCTTGTCCAGATTGCTTAGTTGTGCCTGTTTGAACCACCGCAGGGGGCCCAGGTCCCTCACTTCTTTCCCAAATGAGTCCCTGGCCACGGGTCCAGCCAGGCTGAGGGTCCTCAGGAGAGCAGTCCAGCTCAGTCCAGGTCTGGCCCGTTAATCCAGGCAACACCGAGCGCCTGGCGCAGTCACGGGGAAGGTGCCCGGGTGCAGCCAGCAGTCTGTTGGAAGGTCCGGCCGGTCTCGTGTGCCAGATTGGCGCTTAAACTTTTGGCCTGTGGCACGAGGACTTGGGGTTCAGTGGGCGGTGCGGCCTTGTTCTGTTTCTTTCTGGAGTTCTGAGTTTTTAGGGTCTCACGTGGGGGTAACTTTAAGGTCCCGTTTATCATCCTTTAGGCAGGATGAAGTAAGGAAGGAGGGACCCCCACTTATGCTGGGTGATGGGCTGGTGGGAACAGCACTTTGGTCATGAAAAGCTGATCTCATGACAGTTTCAGTCTCCCAGACAGTGTGCAGGCGGACCAGGCAGTCCGCACCTCCTGCCTGAGGCACCACATGCCCCACTGGGTAGCCCAGGCGGGTGCGTCATTTTCCCGGCCCCCCTCTAAGCTTGGCCAGAACCTGGTGGGTTCCTGTGGCCGTGCAGGAGGACACAGGAGACAGTTGGAGTCTCCTTTGCAGGGGCCATTCCCAAGCATTTCACCTAGGTTGGGAGGGGGCACTGCCTAATTCTAGCCCAGCCCTCTGAGAGGACCAAGCCAGCTGGCCCCTCGCCTGCTCAGCACCGCGTCCTGGGGAGAAGGCTGTCTGAGCTGGTAGCCCGCGGCCAGCTGGTGCAGAGAGCTAGAAGGCAGCCTGGGGCACAGTCAGGAATCCACAATGACACTGGCAGCATTGCCGGGGGCACCACTTAGAGTTTGGCAAACCCCTGCGGCTGCACTCACACTCCCTGGGGGCTGATCACAGGATTGGGCTCCTGAGCTTGTGTAAGTGCAGCTTCAGTATTCACAAGCTCTGCCTTTTTCTTTTTCCCCTCTCCTTCCCCTTTGCTTCTCCTCCGTCCCTTTATCCTCTCCCCGCTTTCCTCTCCTTTTTCTTTCTGAGGTTTGTCGGAACAGATGCTCTGGGGAGTGTTTCTCTGTTGGAACAGCTTTGCAGGCTGCCTCGGGAGCTCAGGGCTCTGGTTTTCTCCTGCGACACCCACCCCACAGCTGCCAGTGGTGGGCAGGCGTCTCGGAAGAGTGTGGTTGGCATTGGGTGGCGAACATTACTCACGGCGCACAGCTGCGCTCCTCTGTGTGGGGGCGGGTGGGGAACTAGAGGTGCTGGGCCACCATCCGCCCCGCCCCAGGGACCTTCACCTTCCTGCAAGGTCTCTGAAAACGGAGCACCCCTCCTCCCCCCTCCCCCACCCCCGCCGCTGACTCTGCTGCCCTTCCCTGGAGGCTCTGCAGTAGGTGGCAGCGTCAGGGCTTGTCGCAGGCAAGGCCAGCCAGTCACCGGACCTGTGACGCAGGCCCTCCGCCCTGTTGGTCAGGAGTTTTTCTCACATTTGTCTCCCAGCAGTCGGGTTGTGTTCTGCAGGCTCCTGCGAGGGCCGGAACAGCTCCGTTACTTTGCGGGGTCAGGCTGATGCTCCCTGGCTGTTTCTGAGCCCGGGAGAGACCTCCTCCCAGCTCAGTTTTTGGGTCGGCTCTTGGTGAAGGTGAGGGAGTCAGACCCACGCCAGGAGGGAAGGGTTTGGACATTCTCACAGGGGCTCATTCTGAAGCTGGTGGAGGATTTGGCCTTGTGGGCCTGCTGGTTCCTCCTCCTGCACTTGGGAGGTATTTCCCCTGGGGCTCCCGCGGACACGGAGGGTGACTGGTGACTGGGATTCGGGCTGCCCACACACACACACACACACACACACACACACACACGCCTGTGGGCCTTTTCCACAGCAGAGAAGACGCTCTGGGATGGCCTGGCCCAGCCCTCTCCTTGTCACCTGCCTTTGGTCCATCGACACTGCCGGTGTGCACTCCCTCCCAATCCCAGGCCTCTGGGTGCTTAACCCCTGGCTGGACATCAGTTTTTTTCCAGTCACCTCTCTGTTTTAGCTCTTCCCAGCTCAGGATCAGGGCAGCCGGAGTTCTCGCTTACATCTCAGGTCACAAGTGGGAGCAGGAGGTCCTGTGTCAGTGAGGCACGTGCTGCTGTGGCTCTTCAGCTCGTACCTCACTTCTTGCCTCTGGGCTGGCTTCTGGCTCTTCCTGCTTACATGTAGGCACTCTCGTCACAGGCAGTTATGATATTACTGACAGATCCAAGGAGCTGGCCTCTGTCTGTGAGCTTGTAGGTGGAGGCTGGGACTGAAGGATGTTGGAGGGAGGGAAAGAGTGTTTCTGGGTCAGCAGCAACTCTGAACTACAGCTCAGAGGCTGGCACTCTGTGGTACAGGGCCTGTTGCCAATGCCACCCTCCCCCTTACTGAATGGAGCCCCGCCCACCTGCCAGGTGACTTCCCCCAGCTCAGCAAATACTTAGCCCTCTTGTGGAAAGTTTCCAGACATCACGGGGCGGGTGGATTTGCTGGTGATGCCACGGGTGAAGGGCTGGGGGTGTGGCTTTTGTTGTGGCTCATCACAGCCAGACAGCCATACATGGTCACTGCAGCGCCAGGACTGTGGCCCGGTGACTCACCCAAGAGGCTGATGGAACGGGAACAGCCAGGGCTAGTGAAGGGCTGGGAAACCTGGGGGCTGAGAGCCCCAAGTGTTACTGTCACTTGCCCAGACACAGTCTGGGGCAGCTCTACGGAGACTAGCCTCCAAGAAGGGGTTCCAGAAGAGCCGGAAGAGAAGCCGCTGCCACTTGTCAGATTCTGGGCCTGGCCCTGTCGCTTCTCTGTAATGTGGTCCTAGGAGTTGACTTTAGTGTCAAATTGGTTCTTTCTCACAAGGAGGACCTACTTATTTTCCCTAGAAAATGCTGATCCTGAAACTGACTGGTGTGGTCTTTAGGGAGAGGAGAGCAAGTTTAGATACTTATTTAGTCATGGCTGGGGCAGTGCAGGCTCCCTTGGCACCAGGCCATGGAATTGCTCTGAGCATTTCTACTGGAGACACTTGTGGGATTTCCAGGCATTAAGTGAGGCCTTTGACAGGGAAACTGCAGCCAGACCAGCAGCTCAGAGTTTATTCTCTCTCCAGGGACAGCCTGGGGAGGTTTCTGGAGGCAGAGGCTGTCCAGCTTTCTGCAGGTCCCTGAGCCTGTGAGAGGGGAGAGGCAGGGAGCGGCCCGGAGGGAACGGCAGCCCTGTGGGTGCAGCAGGAAAGGGGCCGATTCCTGAGAGCCTGGGTGGTGAAGCGTCTGCCTTCCCACACGTTCACCTTGCGTGACACATGGGAAGCTTAGAGCAAAGTCGAACTGTTTTCATCGAGCCAGGTGTACCCATGTGAAACATCGCCCTGTATTCTGAGATTTGTAAAAATGTTAAACTGACCCTGTCTCTCTCTCTCTCTCTCTCTCTCTCTCTCTTTTTTTGCAATGCTGACAGTGTTTTGTGTGTGTGTTTTTACTTTTTAACAAGTCGTTACCTGGCAAGACACAAGGTGGCTGTTTCTGGGTTTTGAAGCTTTCCTGCCAGGAAACCCAGGAAGCAGGAGCCCGGGCTTGGAGAGGGCTGGAGTTGTTTGTCCTTCATGGACTTGTTTAAATTCTCGTCTCCCACATTTCTCACCTGGGAGTTTCGGGCCGTGCTGAGGCTGCTTGGCACCCTCTGTCCCCAATGACACCAAGGCCCTTTGCCTCTCCCCAGCCATGGATTTCCCTCAGCACAGCCAGCACGTCTTGGAGCAGCTGAACCAGCAGCGGCAGCAGGGGCTTTTGTGTGACTGCACTTTTGTGGTGGACGGTGTTGATTTTAAGGCCCATAAAGCAGTGCTGGCCGCCTGCAGCGAGTACTTCAAGATGCTCTTCGTGGACCAGAAGGATGTGGTGCAACTGGACATCAGTAACGCAGCAGGTACCCTGTTGGGTCCAGGGGCAAGTTTGTTGAGGGCCAGAAGCTCTGGCTGACCCTGTGCCCTCCTAACACAGTTCCTGCCCTCCTGGGAGCAATACCTTCAGGGTGTGGGGTGCACCAGGCCTCCCATACAGGACCCATGAGTGTGTGGTTACCAAGTTTCTACCACATTTTGGGGGCCTGTTAGCCTGGGAGCAGGTGGTGAGGGGAGAACTGGCAGGAAGGGCTCACCATGAGCTCCAGGCCAGAGTGAACACAGACAACAGGTGGGCTCTGAGTCCTGAACCCTCTATTCCAGTGCTAACCATGAGGAGGATGGCAAGGGTTGGGGTTGGGGCAAGGGATCAGGAAGGCCTTGGGATTGAAGAAGGAGCTGGTCAGTTTTGGTCTCCCAACTCAGCATGGCATGATGTGCTATGAGAAGGTCAGGGCAAGGTCATGTTCCCCCATTTTATAGATGCGGAAACTGAGACCCAAAGAGGTCAGGTGACTGGCCTGGAGGTCAGCGAGAGAGTTTGTGGCAGAGCGCCGATGACAGTCATTACTATCACTTTGGTTGGATTGCCTTCTGGCGGTGAGGAGTAGCGGCTGGGTAGAGGGTGTCCAGGGTGGGCATTGACACCGTCTGTCCTTCACGCAGGGCAGGCGTTCACACCTTCTGTCTTCTGTGCAAGGCAGGTGTTCACATCCTCTGTCCCCCATTGAATCCTCTGTGCAGGCTGGGCTTTCCCACCCTCTGTCCTCGGTGTAGGGTGAGCAGTCACACCTGTTTTCTGTGTAGGGTGAGCACTCACACCCTCTGCCCTCTGGTTGTACCTCCATTTGGAGGCTGTTATCTGGGCTGAGACTCCCTCAGTTGCTTGCCTCTCTGCCAGCACAGGAGATGGGGAGAAGACGGCCTGTCACCTTGCTCTTTACCAATCCCTGGATTCTGCCGCCGAGTGGCACCTGCTGGTGCCAGGCCTAGAGGTGGGTCTGTGATGGCTGTCTGTGTCCTTGGCAGGCCTGGGGCAGGTACTGGAATTTATTTACACGGCCAAGCTCAGCCTGAGCTCCGAGAATGTGGACGATGTGCTGGCCGTGGCCAGCTTCCTGCAGATGCAAGACATCATCACGGCCTGCCATGCCCTCAAGTCACTCGCCAAGCCGGCCACCAGCCCTGGGGAGAATACGGAGGCCGTGGCCATGGAAGGTAAGATGATTGGCAGGCTTTCCCGAGCAGGTGGCTTTCGATGGGGCTCTGCCTCTGCATCACCTCTCTGGGTCTCAGTTTCCTCTCTGGCCTTGCCTGGGTTGTGGGTGCTGGTGAGGTTTAGCTGCAGTAAAGTCTGAGAAAGGCCTCTCGGAGGCGCCCTTTACCTACCATGCCCCCCTTTCTCCAGCTTCCCTTGTGCTTTGCTGCTGAGAACTGGCGGTGGGCCTGATTCAAGGCCGCGCACACGGCCGGCTCCTCCTACACGCTCCTCTCTGTGCCCTTCCTCTGGCCCCTCGCTGTCTCAGAAAAGCTCCCCACACCTGGTTTGGCCAGGTTCCCTGAGAAACACTTTCAGAAAACCCGCTCTCCTAAGCACTGACTCTGGCAGCATTGATATCTCACCTGTGAGGTCTGTGTCCCGGCCGGCCTGGGAACCCCCAGAACAGCAGCCATGGTTGGTATGTGCAGGCGTGCCGCCAGCTAGGTGCACAGTAGGTGCCTTGTGCATAATTTGTTGAATGAAGAAACCACCACTTAGATGTACCTCCAGGGAGGATCCAGAAGAGCTGGCGAGTTCTGGGAACCCTCACCTCTCCAAGGAGTGGCACTTGATGGGAAACAGGTCTATCTGGTTCCATCTCCAGGAGGGGACAGGAGATCCAAAGAGAAGGCTGCGGCCACCACGCTGAGTGAGCGGAACCCTGCTGGAGGCAGTCCACCCAGGGGCCCGGGCCGGGACCCCAAGGAGGAGCGAGGCGGGCAGGCAGAGAGTGCGGCCAGCGGTGAGTTGTGACGCTGAAGCCAACCGTTCCACCATCTCCCTGGGCCCCTGTACAGTGAGGGGCTTCCTCAGGAGGCTCCTGGTGCTGAGATAGAGTGGCACCCTTGAGCTCAGGTTACCCCGAAGGAACCACTGTTGATCAGGGGTGTCTGGTCCAGCCAGAGCAGAGGCCAAACAGTCTGAGCTTGGATGTGCTGGCCCCACCCACCCTTGAGCCACAGCCACTACAGGGGCCTGGTCCAGGGGAGCCATTTGGTCCCTGGATAGAGTCTCAGTCCCACCTCCTCACCCCCAGGTGCAGAGCAGACGGAGAAGGCCGATGCCCCCCGGGAGCCACCGCCAGCAGAGCCCAAGCCCGACCCCACCGGTGGCATGGCTGCTGCTGAGGCCGAGGCCGCCTTGTCGGAGAGCTCAGAGCAAGGTACCGCCACCCAGCCAGGCCCGCCTTCACTGGCACGCCCCCCTCACGCAGTTCCCCCAGGTCCCTCTCCTCCTCCTACAGCTGATCCCACTCTGAGCCACTCACCCACTTCAGCTTTGGGGCGACATCTTTTCTCATTCTTGAATTTGGACATTAATCTCTTGGTTGTGTTACCTGGCTGTGCTTCCCGCTGGGGCAGAAGCATTGCTGACACCCATGGCTGAGCACCAAGGGGAGCCTTATACCCACACCCCAAAACCCCAGTGCTTGTTGCTGACAATGCCCTTGCTGCCCTGCAGCCCACCAGGGTGCCCATGCCCTGAGGCTGCCTCCATCCTCCAAGCAGCCAATGTCCTGGTCTGCAGCTCTCCTGGCACTGCCTTGGCCAGGGCTGGGACCATTTATTGGTGGTGCCCAGACATTACCAGGCTCTGCCAGGTGCCCATGCAGAGAGAGGGGCCTGTGGCCTGACATCAGGTCGGCTTCCTGGCATTTGTCTAGCTCTGAGGTCATGTCCCTTTGGGAGCCCCTCTGCCTCCCTGGCCCCTCAGTGCCTGCCCTCCTCATCTCAGAAATGCAGGTGGAGCCGGCCAGGAAAGGAGAAGAGGGAGAGGAGGACGCCATGCCTTCTGGGGTCAAGGAAGAAGGGCCGCACCTGGACAAGGGGGATGCCCCCGAGGAGAGCGAGGAGTCGGCCAGCACGGACTCGGGCCAGGAGCTGGGCGCAGAGGCCCGGGGCCTGCGCCCAAGCACCTATGGCGACCGTACCGAGTCCAAGGCCTACGGCTCCATCATCCACAAATGCGAGGTGCGGCCACAGGTGGCACCACCCGCCCTGCCCAGCCCCACCCCTCACCCAGCACCCCCTCACTCCCGATTCCCGCGCCCTGCAGGACTGTGGGAAGGAGTTCACACACACGGGCAACTTCAAGCGGCACATCCGCATCCACACAGGCGAGAAGCCCTTCTCGTGCCGGGAGTGCAGCAAGGCCTTCTCCGACCCCGCCGCCTGCAAGGCCCACGAGAAGACGCACAGGTGCGGGGCCCGGCCTGCCGCTTGTCTCGCTGGCTCAGCCCCGGTAGGACCCCAGCGACCCCCCTCTCCCTTCTGACCACCAGCCCGCTGAAGCCCTACGGCTGCGAGGAGTGTGGCAAGAGCTACCGGCTCATCAGCCTGCTGAACCTGCACAAGAAGCGGCACTCGGGCGAGGCGCGCTACCGCTGCGAGGACTGCGGCAAGCTCTTCACCACGTCCGGCAACCTCAAGCGACACCAGCTGGTGCACAGCGGCGAGAAGCCCTACCAGTGCGACTACTGCGGCCGCTCCTTCTCCGACCCCACCTCCAAGATGCGCCACCTGGAGACTCACGACACTGACAAGGAGCACAAGTGCCCTCATTGTGACAAGAAGTTCAACCAGGTGTGTGGGCACCCCCGGGGCGCCTCCGCCCTGCACACTGACGAGCGGAGCGGGCCCCTGGCTAGGGAGCTCCCGCCTCGGGCTGGGCCCTCGAAGACCCGGGCTCAGAGGGAAAAGTAGGTGCTGCGGAGAGCGTGGCAGTCCCCAGGACAGAGCTCTGCCGGGGAAAGTGAGAAGGCGGGGGGGGTCAGGATGGGGTGCAGACCAAAAAGAAGTGGAGTGGGCGTGGCTTCCCTCTCACTGCTAGGATCTGGGACCTTCCATTGTCCTTGGGCAAAGATGGAGCCATCCACCGGCTCCTGGGAGGACCCAGAACCAGCTGTCCCCTGGCGGAGGGCTGCGGAGGGGGCCCACGGCCATGTTGAGTGGTGGCCTTTCTGACACCTGCCTGGCACAGGTGGGGAACCTGAAGGCCCACCTGAAGATCCACATCGCGGACGGGCCCCTCAAGTGCCGAGAGTGCGGGAAGCAGTTCACCACCTCAGGTAGGGCCAGGCTGCCTGGCTGCCCACACCCTCCACTCCTCGGCCGCCTCCCGATGCCTCATGCCAGGCCCTCTGCCCATCTCCACAGGGAACCTAAAGCGGCACCTTCGGATCCACAGCGGGGAGAAACCCTACGTGTGCAACCACTGCCAGCGGCAATTCGCTGACCCCGGCGCCCTGCAGCGGCACGTCCGCATCCACACGGGTGGGTGAGCAAGCCCAGCGGTGGGAGCCTAGGAGAGGGGCAGGGCACACAGGGAGGAGGGGAAGTTGGCACTAACATCTTTTGCTGCCTGTCCCCAGGCGAGAAGCCATGCCAGTGCGTGATGTGCGGCAAAGCCTTCACCCAGGCCAGCTCCCTCATCGCCCACGTGCGCCAGCACACTGGGGAGAAGCCCTACGTCTGCGAGCGCTGCGGCAAGAGGTCCTGCCCCACCCATGCCCAGGGTGCTCTGGGGTTCCACACTTTGCAGGGCGAAGGGGTTCTGGAAACACACTAGGGTTCAGTTGCAAACTGGGCTGACTGCTGCCCGAGCCCAGTCCATGGTCCCCTCCAGTCTACAAGGAGAGGCAGGAGGCCAGCCCAGCTCCCCTGACCCCGGCTTGGGCAGTTGAGGCCAGCCCCTCCCTCTGTGGCCTGCAGATTTGTCCAGTCCAGCCAGCTGGCCAATCACATTCGCCACCATGACAACATCCGCCCCCACAAGTGCAGTGTGTGCAGCAAGGCCTTCGTGAACGTGGGGGACCTATCCAAGCACATCATCATCCACACTGGTGAGTGTGTGCCCCTGCCAGGCCGGCCTGTCCCCTGCCCTGAGCTTGCTGCGGGGAGGGTGGGTATCCCCAGATTGCAGCCTGGGTACTGGCGCTTAGAACAGGTGGCTTTGAAGGCAGTTCAATTCAAGTGAGGACCCCATTTTCCTAAGAGCTTCTAGAAGTGCAGGGGCCACTGGAGCACTTCCTACTGGAAAATTCAGGGCTGCTGGGGAAGCTGGAGGCCACTGAGGTCCTCCCCCCTCCCCCAATGGCAGGAGAGAACCTTGCCTCCCCCCCCCCCCCCCCCCCAGGAGAGAAGCCTTACCTCTGTGACAAGTGCGGTCGCGGCTTCAACCGGGTGGACAACCTTCGATCCCATGTGAAGACTGTGCACCAGGGCAAGGCAGGCATCAAAATCCTGGAGCCAGAGGAGGGTGGTGAGGTCAGCGTAGTCACTGTGGATGACATGGTTACGCTGGCCACCGAGGCACTGGCGGCAACAGCCGTCACTCAGCTCACAGGTGAGGGCTGTGGGCAGCAGAGGGTGGTCACAAGCAGCTTGCCTCTGGGGTGGCAGTGAAGGGGCAGGTGCCTCTGGCCTTAGTCCCTGCTGATTCTGCCCACAGTGGTACCAGTGGGGGCTGCAGTGACTGCTGACGAGACGGAAGTGCTTAAAGCCGAGATCAGCAAAGCTGTGAAGCAAGTGCAGGAAGAAGGTGAGTGAGAAAGTCTGACCAGGGGTAAAAGCTGGTGGAGCTCAAGGGTCCTTCGCATCCTGACTGTGGCCCCCACCTCCCACAGACCCCAACACTCATATCCTCTATGCCTGTGACTCCTGTGGGGACAAGTTCCTGGATGCCAACAGCCTGGCCCAGCATGTGCGGATCCACACAGCACAGGCACTGGTCATGTTCCAGACGGATTCGGACATCTGCTACCAGCAGTACGGGTCAGGCAGCACGTGGTCGGCCGGGCAGGTGTTGCAGACTGGGGAACTGGTCTTCCGCCCTCGGGATGGGACTGATGGCCAGCCTGCTCTGGCAGAGACACCCCACACAGCCCCAGAATGCCCACCGCCTGCTGAGTGAGCAGGCATCTCTCCTGACTGTTTATTTAAGGATGGGTGGCCCCGTTCCCTAGAGAGAATAAATTTGATTATTTTCTAATGCTGCCTACAGCTCCCTGTGGGGATGGGGTGGGGAGCTGGCAGCTGTGGCTGATGCCCCAAAGGGCTGCTCTACCCCAGAACCAGCTGGGAAAGCTAGGCTGTCCCTTCTGCGGAATGGGGCTGGAGCCTTGGGATCTGTTTAGAAGCAAGCTGGCTGCTTTGCCCAAGTCAGGGTGCAGAGCTCCATACACCCCATCCCCTCAACCAATCTTCTCTTTGGAGGCTTCTCACCTGTTCACCATGAGGACCCCATCTCTCTTTTCTGCCATGGAGCTGTTGTGACCCTGCTCCCCCTCTGCCTGGGGGTTGGGAGCTGGGCCAGCAGAGGCTGGCCACACTGCTTACCAGGATCCAGGCAACCCAGAGAACCCAGCTCAGGGGCCATTAAGCCAGAGCAGCAAGGTAGGCAGAGAGAACCAGGCCGGACAGGCCATATCCCTGTTTTGTTGTTTGGGGAGGCAGAAGGGCTTACACTGACTTCACAGTAACCTTGGCCCGAGGATCATGGCCAAGCCAGTACCATCTTTTGGGAACTTTTACTTGCCTTGAGTCAGTAAGTCTCTCCCACCAGGTGAGGGCCTGGAGGGACAATGAGCAGCTAGGAGCTTTGATGGGGAGATGGAGAGACAGCACTGCTTACACTAGGAGCAGGTGCAGAGGCTGGTGGGGCAGGGAAACATGAGATGCCCTTTCCGGTAGTTTTCCCCCGAGCAGCCGTAATCCCTTACTCAGAGATAGTAGCTCTTGCACCAAAAGTATAGGTCTTTGGAGGAGCCCCATGGATATTGCAAGTGAGACCGCCAACGCTGCGTCCCATGTTCCCATCCCTGCCCAGTTCCTCAGCCTGTACTTCCAGCTGCAGGGGAAGCCTGGCCCAGCACCCCTTCTTCCTGTCAGGAATCCGTTCCACCAGGCTGTGCCACTGCTGCTGCAGGGCTGGCCTGCACCACACGCAGAGGAGGAAGGGTGAAGAATCAAGACGCCAAAGCTTGCTCAAGATGTTTGAGTGTGCATGGGGTTGTTTTTACCTGTAGTGCCTTCCACATTATCCAAGAACCAGTCAGAGCCTTGAAGTATCACAGGTCTTCACAGCACCACAGCATTGAGAAAAGTTGGGTCTGTGACAAAGATCTGTTTCATACCAGATAAAATGCACCTTGGGGGGGTTTAAGTAGTAGACCGGAAATAGGTTCCTTATACAGACTGAAAGCAAAAGTGAAATGAGGGCTAGCTACGCCCATAAGCCAAGGACATTTACTTGGTCCTCCTACCCAAGTGACAATTACATCCACACTTGACATGTTTTGTATTTTTTAATAAAGTTTGTAATCCAATGGACACACAAAACAAAACTGCGCTGAGAAAAACAGTTTTATAAATTAATAAGTGTTAGGAAGTTGTGGGGAGAGGTCAAGGTCACATAGGAAGAGGAGAGCCAGTCTCTTTGCAGAGTGTGTGTGTGTTTGTGTGTGAGAGAGAGAGACCGACACACTTTCAGATTGCAGGGGCTGGGCCCGGGCCGTAACGAAGCGCACTTATACAAATGAGTGACAATACAAAGTCTGAGTATGAAAATAAGATTTTTCTCTTAAAACACATTTTTGGCACAGATTAAAAAAAATGTATGTCAGGGGGATTTGATTTAAGTCAGTATTATATATATTTATATATATTATATATTTATATATACACACATCCCAAGTTCTGCATATCCCACCGACAGAAAATCCTTCGGTTTGCTCTTTTTTTCGATTGTAAGCTGTACATCCTGGGTGAATCAGATGGTGGTGGCAAGAGAATTAAGACAAGATGACAGCCAGATGAGCAAGAAGAAGGGAGGAGATGGGGACAAACCCAATGAAATGTTCCTTGACCCCAAGGTTTCAGCAGCAGTTTGAAGTCCTGCGTTGAGTCTGTGACATGTTCACATACACCAAGATGTCCAGAGTGCCACAGCCTGTCTTCACTATGCAAAAGTCCAAGTCACTAATTTAGTGCAAAGGCAGTTCTGTTTTCTTGTTTCTTAAAAACAAAACAAAAATTTAATTCCACTGCCCTATCCTTTTCTCCAAAAAGCGGAGAAACCCAGCCCCAAGGTGTCTACAAGTCCATCGGTTGGTGGTCTGTCCTTGGGCTCAATGTCTTGTAAACATACAGAGTAGCAGCACCACTGCCCAGAGGGGTCTGTCCGCCTGAGCTGGGCCGGCAGGCCAGGAGGGCAAGGCTGGCCGTCTGGCAGTGGAGTCTGTCCCCTTCGGCAGCTTCTTCCTCCACGTGGCTGGGTTGTCCTGTGTTTGTTTTTTCTGCAGAGCCTCAGGAAAACACCGAGTCGCTGACCTATACCAGTGGCTCACACAGAGGCAATGACAATCATGAGGTGGGGAGAAATGTTGGAAATGCTGGCCAGAAGGTCAGGGGCCAGACGGGACAGGTGACTCTCCGAGAACTCGCAGGGTGGGAAGATCTGCAGCACATAGGCGGGCTGGAGAAGAGGATGAGCAATAAGTGGGACCCCTTGTCTTCACATCACCAACCCCACTGCCCCCACTGCCACTCTGAACAGGCCCCACACACAGAGCCAGCTTTAGTCAGTTTCCCAACCAGCTAAGGCTCCGTGGCTTTGTCAGAAAACTATAATGAACTAATTTCCTGTGACCCTCTTCTATACCATTAGGCTAAAGAAAAACCTGCTGTATCAGCTGTCCCTTGATTGTCTCCAGGATGGGCAATGGTGGCCCCACCCAGACACTGCTTATTTCCTCTACCCAGATGCCCTTTGCCCACCTCTAAGAAACTCCTGAGCTGCTCTGGCTGCACTAGTAGGCCATGCCACCAGATTAGTCGAATTGCATAACCTGTCCCACCTGTGCACCGAGGAAAGACACTGGGCAGGGGGCTGACCTGATTAGAGCCAGGGTTGGGAACATTGATGATCCCTGCCGCCTGCTTGGCCTGTAGATAGGTGATGAAGGCAGCCTTGAGGGATTCGGTCTGGCTCACGACATCCTCTTGGTCACGGCCACAGGGCAGAGCCAGCAGCAGACAGTACTCTGACTCCACCTGGGAGAGAGGCAACTGTCAGGGGCCTCCTCACAACACAGAGGCCTGTCTAACCCAGGGGGTTTGGCTCCCATGTCCACAAAAGCTCCTACCTCTGAAAAGACCTGAAAGTCCACCCCTAAATTTGTCTAGAGGCATTTTACACTCCGAGGGAAAGAACACGCCCATCGTCGTCCACACTAAGGAGATAGGCAGCTGGGGGCCACCCACACCTTACATCCCCGGGTGGGGCAGCTGCTCACCTGGGCCCCATCTTACCGTCATCCTTCGGGTAACCCCTTCCAGCTGTGAGGCCTCTAGCCGCATCCTCTGAGCGATCCTCAGTGGGGGACCTCCTTCGGAGAGGGGCAGAGACCGATGGGCCAGGACGTTGTTGCCAGAGACAAAGTGGAGCTGCACAGCAGCTGTGTCATTCTTGAGGGCCAGGAGGCCCTGCCACACAATGGGGTACTTCTGTTCAAGGGGAGACAGACAGGAAGTGAGCTCATGACTGGACATGGCCCTAGGCAGCAGGCTTACTGTGCTAAAGTGGGCTCTTAGGACATTTTAACACAGCACCAAGCTTGGAGAGTAGTGGGGGGACCCCTCCCAGACTTGCCTTCAGAAGCTGAACCATATCCACAGGTCTCTGGGAAGTCAAGTGTGGAGAATCTTGTTTGGGGGAGAGCTGGGCTTCAGTGTGCAGCAGAGCCAATCCTGGAGGGGTGCTAGGGCCCGAGGTTGTAGAGACAAACAATGGCTGCTTTGGGGCAGCCTGGGCAGGGAGAGGGCCCGGAAGGTCAGGCTTCATGGAGACAGATACAGGGGAGGGATAGGAGATCTGGCTTGTTTCTGTTTGGGTCCTCTGAACCGGGACATGAGGCTCAGCTGGTCTGTTTGCAGGTAAGGTTGGGAGGCAAGGCTGTTCTACTCCTGTCTGGGTCCCTTTCGCCTCTTGAGAGACCTGAGGCATCTTGCTGCTTGGTGGTTGGCTGAGCTGGGAGGGCTGCGGGCACTGGACAGGCTGTGCAGACGGCACAGGCTCGCTTTCAGGAGGGGGACCCTAGGGTTGGGCAGGAAGAGACAGGGACATGGTCAGAGTCTGTTATGAACAACACCCAGCCCCCAACTTACTGGCCCTTGGCCCCAGCAAGTCTCAGCTAGGGGCTCCCCCCCGCCTGGAGGTGGGGGGGGGGATACTTTAACCAGTTGGTGATGCATTCTGGGACTCAAGATTGAGGGTTCTGGTAAGAGATGGTAACATGTTCCCTCCCGACCCAAAAAGAGCTCCTTCCCGTGTCCTTCAGCTCTGTGCTGTGAGCTGATCCCTGAAATTTAGGAAGTTTCTCCTTAAACCCACGAAAAGAATGACACACCTGAGGAGCCACACTGGCACCTCAATCACTATTTGCACTAGAAGGCGGATTTACTGCCGTGCTCTCACCTGAGTGGGAACCTTGGTCCGGGAAGGCAGGCCAACGGAGGCGGTGGCAGGAAACTGAGTGTGAGCGAGCTGAGCCGGGCCGTGGTAGGTGCGGATATCCCCGCACCTGTACTCCTGGAACAGCTCCCCGCCACTGGAGTGTACGATCTGCACCCCATGGGTCACCACCACAGGCGGGCTCAGAGGCAGGCCCTGGAGCTGGTTGCTGGGGGTGACTGTAAGAATCCGGGCCTCGCTGTGAGGGGCAGGGGCTGCTTTGGCATCCGTCATCTTGGCAGCTTCTTTCCCTGGCTGCTGCGGGGCCTTGCTGGCTGGTGAAACCTTCACTATGCCGTCTGCTGCCCGGGGCTGCTCACCAACTGCTGTCACGTGAGGATGCACCATGATCCTCACGTCCCGGGGCACAGTGTAGGGGTGCAGTCGGTACTCCGACTGCATGACCAGTACTTCCGACTGCACAGGGGCTGCGGCTCGAGCCACAGGGAGGTGATAGTGCACTTCCTCCTCTGGAGCGTGCTGGGTGGCCAGGGAGGGCACACCAGCTGTGGCTGGCTGGGGCGTGCCTGCCCGCTGCGGGGCCCTGACCTCTATTTGCTGAGGTTGCAGAGGGGCCCGAGGTGAGTGAAGTGTCTCTGGCCGGATGCTGTAGGTGATGCTAGGCAGTGTGGGCGTGTTCATTCTCACTTCGCCCTGGGACAGATGACTAAGGGAGACAGTCTGGGTGATGCTGTGGGGTGGCATGATGACAGACTGCTCTGGGTGTATGCTGGAGATGAACTGAGGCACAGGAATGCCTGCAGCCAGCATGACTGTGGCATTGGTGGAGAGCGCACTGGACGTGGTCCTGCTCGGGTGGCATGCCCTCGGGAAAAGAGATGGAGCAGGCCCACTGGGTCGAGGAGAATGTGCGTCTGGCTTTGTGGCTGCCAAATGGGAGACAGTTCGATCTGTTGGGGTGCTGGGCCCTGAGGTGATGTGGTTTGCTTCTGCAGGCAGTTTGCTGGGCAGAGCGGGAGGGTGGTGGGGAGTGAGAGCAGACCCCAGGTTAGCTGGCTGAAGGACCTTAGTCTCTATTTTGAGAGTGACGGGGTCAGCAAGCTTTTTATTAGTGGTAACGATGCTTGGGGTGAGAACCAACTGATTGTGAACCAACACTGGGGATGTGTTTATGCCCTGGGTGAGAACCTTCACTGTGCCACCCTGGGTGACAGGTGTGGACACAGAGAGGTGAAGGGGCTCAGGCTTCTCCAAGGAAGGACGATCAGCTTTAACAGATGAAATCACCGGAGACGCGTTGTATGTCTGGGCAGTCAGCACTAGTGTAGAGTGGGTGGCCACATTTGCATAGCCTGAAGGAGTCTGAGGGCCTTTGGGTGGTGGCTGTGATGGTGCAACAGAATCAGGTTTGACCTGGGACTTGGATACCGACTGTTGAAATTCAATGTCCATGGCACTCGCTGGGGGGATCTGGCTAATCTTGGCGCTGATCCGCTGTGGGCCCTCAGTCTTCTGCCCCGAATAGCTAAGGAGCACAACTCCTTCTGAAGTGTTCACACGCAGCCCGGCTCCAGAGCCCGAGTCTGCTGGACGCTCGTCAATCACGGACATAGACCCCGGGTGGAACCGACTGTTTTCATTAGTGCTTGTTCTCTGCTTGCACTTTGCTGGTGGTGCAATCACTGCACCCGCCACAGTCAACGCACCTGTTGTTGTGGCAGTCACAACGCCAGAGGCAGCAGTCACTGCGCCTGCTGTGACTGTCACTGTACCCGCTGAAGCGCTCACTGCAGCCGCTGGAGCGCTCACTGCAGCCGAAGCTGCATTCACCACGCCTGTGGCAGTGTTCACTGCGCCCACAGTGGCATTCACCGGAGTGGTGAGGACGTTCACGGGCGCTGTCAGAACATTCACTGGCCCCTTCAGGACGTTGACGGGGCCAGCAGGAGTGTTCACCAAACCTTTCAGTGTCGTCACTGAGCCCTTCACAGGGCCTTTCAGGGCGTTCACTGGGCCAGTCAGGGCATTCACTGGGACCAAGGAGACATTTACCAGGCCGGTCAGGGCGCTCACCAGGCCAGTCAGGGTTTGAGGAGCTGGTTTTGCCAGAGTTATCTTTTGCGAATTCTCCAAATCAATGCTGACAGGCATCCGGCTAATAACAGAAGTAATTTTGGGAGCAATAGCTGGAGCCACCTTTTCTTTGTCAGTGGCTACTGGAACCTCTGAGGCCTGTGTGTCAGAGGCACTAGTTACTGGAGCTCCTGGTTTTTCTTCTACAAGAGGCTGTTTAGGTTCGGCTGGAGGGATTGGTGCCTCATGCAGACAAGGGGCAGCACTGACAGGCTCTGCAATGGCAGCAGTGACACTCGTGGAAGTGATGCCCGTGGCAGACACATATTTGGGGTCCATGAGAATCTTTCTCAGCGTACTAGAGCTGGTGTCAATGTCTGAGGCTTTTGTGTCTGGGGGAAGAGCTGGTGATGGGGTGGACTGAGCCCGAGGTTCCTCCTGTCTTGTGATCCACTCTGTCACCTTCGTAGGGGGACTCTGAT